AAAATCATCTGAAATACAAGACTCGTCAGAAGGAACATCAGATAAGCAGACATCAGTGGAAGTTAAAGTCGAAACAGCAGAACAAAATAATGATGAATACTCTACCCAAGTAAACAACGAGGAACACGTGGAACAGAGGACAAAAATGTGATATGCAGTTAAACAGAAAATACCATTTTTTTTAAAAAAAATTATATTATTTTCTTACACAGAAGTTTTATAAGAAAATTCTTTGGTTTCGCTTCATGAATATGCGGTCGTATTCGCTTCTTGTGTCCCCTTCAACCGACCCCCTCCTCTTGTAACAAAATAATCAGTTTTGATTCCAACTGAAATACCTGGATTACAATTCTATATACATCATCACTATTAGACTCAAGGATTTTTAAGTCCTATGTCATTTACTACTCCATTATAATATATGTAATTTTAAATCATACTTTCCGTGTCCCAAAATTGTCTTGTTTATCGTCTAAGTTCGAATTTGGGCCTAATTATGATGTTTAAAATTCGTTATGCCCGTTTATTCTTGTTTTATCATCTGTTAACACAATCATGGTGATAAGGCAGGCTCCTGCTTCTGTGGCTTCTGCATTAGCCTGTTGAAATCCAGAGAAATAGTTCTCCCCCCCCCCACCCACCCCGCTGTTTCAGATTTAAAAACTCGCATTTCGTTTATTTATAGGTTAAGTAACCGAGGGCTCTGTACTTAGACATTGGCATAATAGACATCCTAATAAGGCAGAAATATAAATCCTGGAAAGGGTTTTCAAAAGAAATATTCTTTCAACCTACTGAGACAAACAGCTAAGTTTACTAATCTCATTACAGGCTCATCACTACTGGCTACACATGTAAATCCTTTCCGTTTAGGCTTTCCGACTTAAGTGATATGCATTCATCATTAAACTCGTATTTTATAGCAACATCCGGTTCAATGTCAACAATGAGCTAAAGCAGGAAGAATCTTGTAGCCCATGAGTGAATGTGGAGCCTGCTTGCCTGTAAGCTCATCCACCTTATCTCTGCATGTACTGGAGACAGATAAACTCGACTGGAATTATGCGCAAACTAATCACTCGATTACAAAATACACAAGACCGTAAGTCAGCGATGTGTTTTTATTGTTACATTTATCAGTATTACAATCTTAGCAAGAATTTTTAAAGTGTAAAATGTATTTCGTAATAAAAAATTGACGGTTTTGTTAATTGTCAATGTAACAAAGTTATTCTAAACCTTCAGAAAGCTCCCTACATCATGAAAACTTCGTCCCTATTCGCAGATGACACGTCAAAACCTTTGTGAAGACAAGATTTTGGGAGTAGCTGTAAATAAGTTAACAGACATGAGATAAGAGGTGGTCCTCCAATTAATTTAGAGGGCTAGCGAGAGATTAACTTTTATGAACGAATTGTGTAAGTCTTTTAGAGTGACAAATTTTATTTTTTCGAACAACGGACTATCACGTGCGACTACAGTCCATTTGAGGGAGTCGTCAAAACATGGACGTATGTCAGTGAGCCGACCACTAGACCCATAAAATGTAACTTAATAATTATTTCGCTTCAGAGCTTAAACAACTAATCACGAAAGGAAGATATATTAGTATCAAGCACTTAATATCCAAAATTATGTTTCCCCTCAACACACATTTGCTAACCAATTAAGAATAAAACATAGAATCCTGTTAAATTATTTGATCAACTACGCAGAACAAGTTTTTTTTTTTGAGAAGCTGAGTTGGTCAGCTAACAAAGATATTTCTTGGATTTTATGGAAACCGATAACATAGTGGTACTTTAATGTGTATTAACTGTCGTTGTATTTTTAGTTCAGTAGATAATAGTAGCCCTATTAAATAGAACGTTTCGAATTGTCTTCACAAGGGCGCACCAACTGACCCCATCTTGAGCCAGATGAATCTAGTATATGTCCTCACACCCAATTTTTTTAAACATCAAGTTCTCTTCCCTTCAGGTTTCCCAACTAAGATTTTCTTCGCATAACTCTTATCTCCCTGCGTGCTGCATGTCCCGTCCAGCTTACCTTCCTTGATTCGATTACGCTAATAACAATTTATTCATTTCGCGCGGTAGCCATGTTGTTGCCTTTTTTCCTTGCAACATTATCGGAACATGTTTCACCGATCTATCGCCACCAATCAATGTTGAACAGATCATTACAATGAAACTGCACCAATCATCTAAATCCTGATCTTGGTCTGCAATTCATATTTATTCCACTGTTTATTTTAATTATACGAGTAGAAATTACATTAAGTTTGTTCAGAATTTAGAATTCGATTGTTGCAGGAATTTGTTCAAAACTAACCTCAATTAGGCCAATTTTAATTCTTGCCAACACCGAGGCTTATCAGAGGAAGTAGTTTTAAAAAAATCACATTTTACACATTTATTTATATTTATATTTTCTTTTAAAATCAGCTTCAATCATGACTGATCTACTTTCTTAATGGATAATCTGTGTTTAATACTAACTGTTACAGAAACCCACCCCTCATAGAAGTAGCATTGCTGTCAAAGCCTATGATCTGATGTGTCTAAAATAGTACCAAATGAATTTTTTATTTTCATATTAAACTTTTTTCTCAAACTAATTGTAATATCAGCGTTCATAGTCTATCTCCCAATTTTAGTAAAAGAAAAAATGTAAATGAAATACTCGCAGCTTAAGACAAAATAATTAACTATTAAAAATTTTATGTCCCAGGACTGCATAAGCCGGGTGGTACTTGTCCAAGAGCAAAATATCTGCTAGAGAAAGAGGAGGGTAACATTCCTCTTCTCTTTACCTGTAGTTGCATGGGTTCTTCTGTGCTGGGCCCCACCTTCTCGTCACTTAACCGACCAATCAGGGGATTCCTACGCCGAGATCAAAGAGATGCCGACAGCGCGTGGTAAATTATATTTTTAGGAGGCGTGGTTCAGGAACCACAGCATCTGTGTCGAAAGAAGGGGAGTCTGTGTGTCTACCTACACCAATTCCTCCTGGAAGGGCAACTGCACTGTCCGACAGTATTCGTCCGGACTTTGGAACGTGGACAACCCCATTTCATCGCCTCCTTTTTCCGTAACCTCAAGTGACTCACTTTAAGTGTCCTTAGAGAAGTGCCTTTTTCATAAATACACCTACTTACATTGTTTATCTGAAGGAGAACATTATCGGAGTCTGATGAAAAACATTCGAAAAATAATTATTTTCTACGAGTTTCTATGAAAACGTATACTGTACGCGTCTTTCCTTAAAACGGCAATACGAGTAAACGAGTGCTTTGTTTAGTGACGTATAAATTACAGTCAGTATTGATCTTGATCTGTCTGCGTGTGTGGGGGTGATTGTTTGCTAAATGAAGATCTCAACTAGCGCATGATTCAAGACGCCAAGCCACGTGGTAGTGTGACAATCGTGTTTCATTTACTACCGAATTGACTGCTGAGTTCCCATCCGCTCTCCGATGGCCGTGTCTACTTTGAATATGGCTCCGTACTTCACAGGATACCCGTTTCAAGGTAAATAGAAGTATACGACATCATACTAAACGTATGCTTGATTACAAAATTTGTTTTCTTGTGGAATGCCAATAATGTAATTAGATAAATTTAAGGTATGCCATAGAAGTAAGTTAACAGGTAAATATTAGTTGCCAAAAAACAAAAATTAGGTAAAGAACTTGCATCTTAATAAGGGCAATTATAAAATTAAACAAGCCATTTTACTGCTTATTTCAGTTTATGAATTACTACACAAACGCTGCTAATTTTCATACATTGGCAGTTTGTCACTGAAATATATTTATAAAGAAAGTTAACATAACCGAATCTTTCTTTTGAGAAGTTACAAAAATGTCTGATGCTCTACGTATACCATAAAGTAACATTACATTAGACTGGACCTAATTACACCTGATTAAAATTTGTATTAATAGAAATAAAAATTAATAAACCAGCGTCAATATATATGATAGTACTAAAATAAATTTAGGCCTAGCCCTGTCTGACAAACCGTTGTTAATCAACACACAACCACACAAATAATTAGGCCTAACCCATACGTTTATTTCAAGATTATTTAACAACGCTGCCATCAGCCTAGAAACAGTATCAAATGGTAGTCTTATTAACTAATAATGAATTGGAAAGGATGTGGAAGAAAGTGATGGTGGCTTAACTTAAGTACTAAGTTGGAATTTGTTTGGCGAGACTGAGGAATACCAAGAAAAGCTCAGTCAGGTTAACGGGTCTCGGGGTCGGGATCTGAACCTCCCGAATATAAAGCAGGAGTTGGTAACAATAAAAAACATATGTAAAAGAGGAAATTAATACATCGCATGAATAAGGCTCATATAACGATCTATGCAATAAATAGATTTTTCGGTTTAATTAAGATGTTATGTTCTAGAAATTTTTAAATCGTTACATAAAACAATGAACAGTATTTAACTATAACTGCGTTATGTGTAGGACATTATACTAAATTTCAGTCACAAATTTACTCTTAACTAATACACATATTTCTTGCATTTTTCTACAATATAGAATGCATGATACTGTCAATGCATAAACTCGGAGTATATGTTCATGTGACCAGGCTTGTGTGCTTATGTGCATGCAATTCTGCCATTTATATATGAGATTGCCCGCCGGATAATTTTATACATCTATCGAGAACACATGTCCGAATATATCACAGTCACTCCAAACCAATTCAATAAAGAAACTGTATAATCAGTATCAGTAAAGTATTTGCAATAATAACAATTCTTATGTTTCTTCCTAGCTTGTAAATGAACAAATAAATTCGAAAAATATTTTGCTTGTGTGCGCCTGCAGACAGTGGAGGAAATAATTACAGATTTAAAACAATTTATTTACTATTATTTTACTCAAATTTGGTAAGAGGGATAAAGAATTTAACCCTTATGAAAAATCAAAAGTTAATATCTACAACGCCTTGATGTGAATGTCTTCAGAAAATTATCGTTTATAGGATAAAGGTAATAAATAATATTCAAATACAGATTATCCTAAAATAACGGTTTGTAAGTTTGCAAGTCAAATACCCACCCTCAGTTTCATACAACCAAGAAATAAGATGTTTATTTCAGGGATTTCTAGCACCCCTGGCAAAGAATTTTATTGTGTGTAAAAAGCCATTACTTCAAAACGCTGAATTAATACGGTTTCTCAGCTTTATTAGACAAAATTTCGCTGTTAATCTGAATTTAAAACTACGATGAAGAATAATGTATCTAGAAAGAGTAATTAGGTTTTAAATGGTGAGACGGTGAAGGGTAATGTGAGTGGGAGGATATGTTTTAATCACATCAAGACAAAGAACATCTTTCAGTAGTCTGTCCACAGACAAACCTCATGAGCTGTAGATATAATTGTGTTGTGACGTTCTGTTTAAACGGAAACGCGTATCTCCTTAAGGATGGTCCCCGACGTCACCCTAAACTTGTACCCATCAAATATGAATATACAGATTATTATTGGGGGATATCTGTTTGAAAGAGAGAAAATATTATCTTCAAGATATTAATAATTAGAAACATCGGCTTCGTAGAGCCAAAAGCTCAAACCATATGAATACATAAATTTGAGTATTTGTCCCAGCTTTCGATTAGCACGAGTCATCTTGAATTTGCAAAGTTTTCCTACGCGAATTTATTTTAAATACAATTCATGCCAGTCGCGGTGAGAAACACTTGTTGCACGCGACTGCCCTGCCATGCTCCCTTCGCCGGCACAAGACCTCGGTTCAATGCGACGCGACACTGAACCTGCAGTCAGTACGACGTACACTTGTATCAAACGCGGCTGATGCTTATTCGCCCTAACAGCAAACGAGCATTCTGCACTGTACATATACACTGTCCTTCACGCCCCGATTACAAACGATTTAAAAATTTTAATTAATCACTTGATGTGCGATCCTTTTAGAAGTTGGATGGTACTGATCGCTGTTTTGTGGATGCAGAACATAGGGAAAATTTTGATATGGAGAGATTTGTTCTGAAGAAGCATAGCAGATTACAGTTTTCGCAAGTGCCTTTCGTTGCCAAAACCACTTAAATGACGTGAAATGTTTAGGTTTTCACCGCGGTGAGAATGATGTTTCGTTTTGAGATTTTCGCCGTGTGGAATCGTAGGTAGATGACAACGTTTAGGAGGAACATGCTGTTTCCATCTTCGGCGCTGGGAAGTGGAGGGATTTATATTGGGTTATAGGAAGAATGGGCTAATGAGGTACCAGTATATGGCACCTTAACCTATATCTAGTGCCGTGATTAAAAATGCATGGCGTTGTGCTTAGGAATAAGGGTTTTAAAATAAGGCTATTTACCTGTGCACTGGTGATTATATTTTCTTGTTCCTAGTTTAATGAATCATTCGAAGAGATAATTATCAATTCAGCAAGCCGTATGAGCTTCTGATTTCGGATTGGTTTTATCGAAATATGTTTATTTTCACATTGACTCTTATTAAAACCAGACACTTAAGTACAGTATAATAATAATGATTAAGGCCGTTATTACACACAGTCTTTGGTTTAAAAATGATGCCATATTCCTTTGGGGCCTACCACTGCGTACCATCGCGTTCTGCTGAGTTGTCACAAACACCTGTTACTATGTTCTACATAATGGCTAACGTCTTTATTTCGGTTCTCGTAAAGAAAAGGACATAAGAGGTTATAATGATATTAACACATCTTCTACACGTACATAGAACATGAACAACATTCAATTAACTACCCCATCATGCAGTCTGCAGTCTGTACCAGAACACAGTTTGCTTGTCAGACAGAACCGCAAAACAACGAACATTGCGCTCATAATTGGTTATGGAGGTCGATATGAGCTATATTAGACCGTGGTCAGTTGGTTTATAAGTTTTTTTCAAATGGTTGGGAAACGCTGTATGCCTATTTAAGTCACTTTGGCATGAACGTTTGTTGCGTGTTGTGAAGTACAAACACGATGTAGGCGCGAAACTATGAGGTTATGTTTTGGAAAACAGCCTTTATTTTGTCGGGTAGCACAAGACATGAAAGACCAAATAAAAGAACAAAATGATTTGTATCCGCAATGAATGGATGTAATGGTACCCGCCTTTCTAGGGTTGTTCTTAACATACATTGAATGGTTTAAGTAGCTGTTATTTTTAATTTTTTTTTGCAAAGCAGAAAACAAGCTGTTTTATGAATTAAGTTAATGTATCATAAAAGCCAGAGCGAAGTTTCTAAAGTGGAGAACTATTTAGGCCTAACACAAAGCCATATGCTGTTTCTTGAGGTGGTAAAGAAATGTGTCATTAGGTGACAGAAGGAAAATGTGACTGGTAAGAAAATTCCATGTTTGTCTCTCCTCGAAACGACAGCATATAAGCGAATACAGTTACGATCGAGGAGGTAAATATGAATTTTTAAACAACGTTAATAGCAGAACATAGCGGAACCCGATTCAACGTTGGTTTTCAAGAACTCTTAACGCCAGTAAGTCTTACATCAACGTTCAAGTCCCTCCAATCACCTCACTTCTGTGATACATGACAAATCACCGGACGGTATCCATTTCTTGTATAGAGAAAACAGGGTAACTTTTGGACCCACAGAGTAAGTTTTAATATTCTGCAATGTTGGCATCTGAACTATCATACGAGACTCTCAGTCCTTGAAGTAAGTGAAATTCTATTGACTCATTGGAGCCATATTGATATTTTAGACCCTGTTTAGCATTTAGTGACCAGTTCTCTCGCAGCATAACCTGAAGATTCAACACTGCTAAAAAGTCTCTCCATTGGACAGGAATTCACTTCCGTTCCTCATAGCATATATCCGTTATGGTCCATCTGACTACTGTCTTCTCATATCCGTCTCGGTCTTCAAGGTTACAGATTCTTATGAGAGGCAAAGATTTTTGTTTAGGATTTTAGCAGTGCAGACACAGATGAATCGTTCATAGAACAATCACGTTCGCTTCCATATTTACTACGTACATATAGTCAATAAATAGAGCTTTCGACTGCAATTTGCGTATCAGTTTTGATTCTGGTAGTCAGTAATAAGACTGTTCTGGAGTAACTTATTTCTACAGACAGGTTAAAGACTTCTATTGCAAGTTTATTCAGAATTTCACTAATTAGGAAGATCGAACTCTCTTTCGTAGACGTAAACGACGAAGTAATGATTTTTGATTTGCAATTCTTGGGGATCTGCGTCGTACAATTAGGATATGTAGTCTCAGAAATCGATGACACATTCTCCAAAATACCTACAGAAGTTTGACTATGTATTTCTACCCAGTCACTTCTACATTTAAGGACAAATCCAACATGAATACTTGGGCCAGACAAACACGTAGCTGGAAATAATAGTCAGGTAACATGTGATCATAGCCTTCGTTTGTTTAGCGGTGTCTTATTGTACATTAATTTCTAGGAAACATGTAATTATTAATGCGTGTATTGTTATTTGTGCAAACACAACAGCAAAAAAAGACGGGACC